TATATATATAAATGTTATTTCTAATGCATCAAAGAATAAACAATATAAGAAATATTCTCACAGCATTATACTAAGAATATCATTTTGTCATATAAAATTAAAAATTTGTGTGTTAATAATTTTTTAAAGAATATATATATACATGCCTATAAGCCATGCCATATTAAAAAAAAAAAAGAAAATAGCTTCTGCTATTTTTGACCGGCTAACTTTTCTCATCTACTAACACCAAGCACATTCTAACCTTACAATCCGTGTCGTCCTCACCGTTATGCCCGCAAGTATGCTTTCAAGCGCCTCGACTTTTTCATCCTCCGTTTCATCCCCTTCCAATATTCCTTTAATGTAAGATCCGAAGACACCCTCGTCGGTATTTAATTCTTGTAATTTTGTGCTTAACCAGGTATCAAACGAATTCGTTGCTGCGACCGCCATGTTCGGCGTTTTCCGACACCTTTGATTGTTGGTTATAATCCGGTAGATAGCGACAGATTTACTTGCAATGATTAGAGTAGACATTAATTAACAAATTTTTATTCACTTAAGTAATAAAAATATTACGAAATTAAGTAAATCTTTTGTTTTTCTCATTACTTTACAAATATTATAATGCTCGAATATTTAAATGTTGTATTATAATATCAATCATAATAATTATTCATAGAATGCACCAAAACAGTATATAATTAATTCTTATATTAATATTTTTTTTCTGATTTTAATAATAATAAGGATTATGTAAATCATCCAGGTATAGAAATGTTTGAACAACATTTTTGTTGATGATACAAATACAATTCTTCAATGATTTTAATGAACAGTATCTCATTTCAAAGATGAAATTCCAAATTTTTCATACATACTTTTTTAATTTAAAAAAAAAATCATTACTTTTATGCATAAATTAGTCTCAAGAAAATAATATTTTTTAAAATTAATATCATAGTTCATTGTCATAAAATATATAATAATAAAAAGATGTAATTAATAGTTAGTTTTGAAAATATACATGATTGATAAAATATTTGGTTTACAGTCGGTAAATCAAGAATCTATCTTACTATCAGTCGATTAATATATAATCTAGTTTTTCATTTGACTATGACAATGACAACAATTACGAGAAAAAAGAACACTAAATTCTATTTCACTTGCTTTAAATTAAAGATGATGAAATAGAAAGAAATACTATCTATCATCTGCTTTAAATAGATTACTCGAAACAATTGAACAAAGATATTATTATGAGATTTTACTTGTAGATAACAAATTTTGTGCAATAAAATGCAATAATCTTTTTATTCATGTACAATAAAGTTAGTCGTGTTCGTAAATCAAACAATCAGCCATCTATAATAATAATAATTTATTTTTGTATTTTATATATAAAAAATAAAGCTTAATGAGATTTTATTGCAATGACAAAAAAAACACAAAGAATTATTATAGATAAATAATATTGTTTAAAAAATATTTAAAAAAAAAACGTAATAAGTGATTTTATATAATGTCTACTTTTAGATCATACTATTGGCAGATGACAGCGCCATCTGTCTCTTTAGGCTAGCTCCGACAGTCTTCTCGCATTCTGCAACGTACTTGACTGTTCATTTAAGTGAATTGTCTTCGTGTTAAAAAATGAATGTGATCGCGAGATCTGCAAATATTTCACCGTATTTGAAGTCAACGGTGACAGTTGTTTCAAATGGAGTAAGATCGGTAACGCCAACTAATAAAGTTCAAAGACCAGCAATTGTCGTCATAACTCCCGTCACACCTATGGTTAATGAAACTTTACAACAGAACATTATTTCTGGAGTTGTTAGAGTGAGCTCAAGTATTTCAGGTAGGTTCTCATACATTTCTTCTAAACGTTAATTATTATTTTTCAGTTTCATTGGTAAATTGAACTTTTTCATTTATGATTATATAATCATTGCAGTATTGTACATTAACTTGTATATATAGTTTTATTTCTCTAGATAATGAAAGAAATATGAAAAAAAAAGTGTTGTTTTTATTGTTACACAGTTTGTATGTGATTCCTGTTTCTTACACACATTTATAAATATATTAAATTTAGATTTCTTTTACAGCTCCTACACAAATACATCAGACTCGTGGAGCCCACTCTGATATCAAAGTTCCAGATTTTACTGCATATCGCAGAGATGAAGTTAAAGATCCAAATGTAGATAGTCGTGAAAGTGCTGCCTCGAGAAAATCATTTTCATATGTCTTAACAGCAGGTATAACCATTTTATTCATTTAGAATATATGATAGAATAATTTATACATTATTTCATTTTATTTTCAGCTACTGGTTTAGCTGGTGTTTATACCGCTAAAACAATGGTCTACGATCTTGTGATGACGATGAGTGCAGGTGCTGATGTATTGGCAATGTCAAAGATTGAAGTAAAGCTTGATGAAATACCGGAAGGAAAGAATGTAGCATTTAAATGGCGTGGCAAGCCTGTATTTATCAGGCACAGGTATGACACACTTGTATAGATACATTTGTACATGTTATTTAAGTCTTTTGTTGATCATATAAAACATAGACGGTTTTTAAAATGATTCATCTCTTAGAACACAAGCCGAAATCAATAAAGAAGCTGCAGTTGATGTATCTTCTCTTCGTCATCCTGAACATGATAGCGATAGGACGCAGAAACCAGAATGGCTAATTGTTATCGGTGTGTGCACGCATTTGGGTTGTATACCTATTGCTAATGCTGGAGAATTTGGTGGTTATTATTGTCCATGTCACGGTTCTCATTATGATGCAAGTGGTAGAATCAGAAAGGGTCCTGCTCCTTTAAATCTCGAGATTCCAGAATATAATTTCGAAGGAAACGTAGTAACTATCGGTTAATGATGGTACGGTCTGTGTAGTAATAAATCGAAAATATTTAATAGAATAATCGGCATATTGAATCTTTTTCCTAAGAATAGGATAATTAATTAATAATGATTAATTAAATACGTACAGTGATATTTCGTATATTATGAAATGTCCAAGAGTGTATTAGCAAAAACACACACTGTGCGTTTATAATATTAAAGTTGTACAAACTCTATAATAAAAAAAAAGAAAAGAAAAGAAGACATGGAGAAAATTGACCGTTCACATATTAATCGTCGATTTAATATTATTTATAAATTTGCTAAGATATCTATACTTACAACAAGAAGAATTGAAGAGAGTGAGTTGCGGCTGGAGGAACGAACGTTCATTGTAACATTCGATAGGTAAAAAGAAATGAAATATAAACCTGTAAAGTATTACAAACAGTTTAATTTCATTGAGAAATAAATATAACCAAAATTGTTAATAATAAACAAATCCCCTTGGAAGAGTGTGCAAATAAAAAAAAAGAAAAAAATCCGCGAGTAGTGATTTTATACATTATAGTATTTCCCGCTTCCGCCAGGTGGCGCTGCGAATCTTCTTAAGGAGAGAAACATGCTTGTTCTTTCGGCGTATGTGACAACGGGCGTCCACGAGGCTCCCGATCCGTCGTTTTTCAGTTTCCCTCGCTGCTGGCAGCGTACGGACACGGTGATAAGAATTGAATTAGTCGCTCCGTCAAAATTCATTTTCGACAAGTCACGCGTTATCAAAGAAAAGTTTCGATTTAAATGTAACCTCGAGCTTGACGCATTTTCTATGACGTTTAGAAATAAATGATACACAAATAGTCTAGCGAAAGGGTGAGAGAAAGGATAGGAGGGAAAAGGGAGAATTATTACGATGCATCGTTCCCACGTTTCTTCTTGTCAACGGGTAGCGGTACGTCGTGAAAGGGTTAAGAAGTAGTGAGCTCGAGATTTCGAGTGAAAGAAAAGGAGCTAAAGGGTTACGTGAGAAGAAGTGGGAGGACGAATGAAAGAAGGTGTCACCAACTTTTCGTAAGTCTCTTTTATATTTAACTCATATATAAATATATATATATATATATATATTTATATGTATCTATATATGTGTATACATGCATATATGTATATGATATTATTTTGTATTCTTTATCAATTTTATAGTTCAAATTTTAAATGTACCTTCCACTTTGTTATCCTTTGATATTAGCCGGTCTGTTTCGTTTGACAGTTGTTCATAGAATGTAGGCTGTCATCGATGAGTAACTTCCTACGACCTAAATCCGCGCTTTCGAGATTCGAAAGTGCAACAAGCCCGCGTTACTTCCTAAACTTTTAATATGTATATGTGTTTATAGACACTTGTATTATTCTTTTGACGTAATAGATGTAAAAGCGCGTGTCATCAATATTTGTAATATATATATGCACACATATGCACATATATGCACATACGTACTATTCCAAGAACGAAAAATTTACAATTATGCACCGATATATCATAAAAACAGTAAATCAAATGAATTATTTTTAATTTATTTAGATTTATTAGAAACAATGCATTTCCTGTTTATCACAAAATATGTTTTTTTTAAATCACATATTGATTCATCGAGAACACAAAAAGAATGGACGTGCATTTGATTAGATCGGTGTTTGGTAATCATCATTTTGATTCACTTAGTAACCAACGATACACGTTTGAATTATTTTCCCGCAATAAATTTTCACACGTATGATTTTATATTATTGAAATTAATTTTTTTCTGAAAATATATAATAAATATTCGTTAAAGAGATATTATATTGATTATTCAATAAAAAAAAAAAAAAAAAAAAAAATACGAATAATTTCATCGTAAAAATGTAGAAAATAAAAAAAAAAAATACGTAAGATATTCAAATGAACAAAAATAACGTAGAAGAATGATATCGCATAAATATTTATTGGAGAATGCACTTTTTTTTTTTTTTTTTTTTTTTTTTAATGACAATTTTATCTTTCCTTTTGATTTAACTATGCAAATGGCGTTCGACAAAATGTTGTTAGTTATTATTCGTTTTGTATTAAACAAAAATCAAAACAAAGAAGATCCAAGCAACGAAGAAAAAAGAAAAAGAAAGAAAAAGAAAAAAAACATGCGACGAGGTCAAAGATAACCGAACGCAATATGTTGTAAATTGGAAATGTTTCAAAATTAAGAATCTAATGCGAAAAACACATGTGAGATGATCCTATGGTATCAACGAGATAATAATATTTCGAATTTACGAACGTTACACGGTTATTTTTTTCTTGTTTTTTTTTTCCTTCTTCTTCTAATTTTACAAATTAAGAGAAAGAAAGAAAGAATAGAGATATTTATGCGTTATGTTCGTAGAATTGAGATAGGAAACAACCAAAAAAAAAAAAAAATAGTAGAAATTCGTATATAGAATCTTTTATTTCTTATTGAAATATAAATATCATTAAATAAGGATTAAGTGAAATATCATGAGAATTATTTCTCATCTTCGTTCTCTCTCTCTCTCTCTCTATTTTTTTTTTCTTTCTTAGAATGACAAAGCTTGTGTTTATCATTTCGCGAACGTTGAATCTTCAAAATTGTATTTAAGGATTCGACCGTTCTTCTAACATCTAACGATGATGACATTCCGACAAACGCGAGTTATATGGTGTGTATAGTAAATACATATAACATCGTTGGTATATTTATATACCAAATGCGTGTTATGTATATATGTACATACATACATACATACATACATATATATCCTTGTGCACGTTCCTCGAATGACTTTTAGAGAGACATATACATACCAAACATAGAGTTTGCATCTTTCTACTCGTCAGTAGAGATTACGGTATCTCTTTGTACGCATCTTTCTTCACCATTTCAAAAGGTAAAATTCTATTTGACTTTTTTTTCTTTTTTCATAATTAATAAAGAAAGAGAGACCATACATATAAATATCTTCTTATAGTTTTGAAAGCAAAACGCGAATCGTGTGTGTCACAGTGCGAAGTATACTTATTTGTTGTTAAGAAAAGGATAAGAAGAAGAAGAAGAAGAAATTAGAATCGTCATTGCATTGAAACATCACCTGGTAAGATAACAAGGACATTTTTTGTAACAATAATTGTTATGTTGTGTTTTCTTCTATTTTCAAATCATTTATTCAATTAATAATTAATCTTCTCATCATTATTTCATAAACGTTGATTAATAGTTATAGAGATCATAAATAGATCGATTTTCGTGTAATGTAAATTTAAATATAACGAATTAGTGTTAAGTTTAATGATGAATATCGTAGTATACGAAAATATCGAATTATTTGATAGAAAATCGTTTGAAATTCATCGATAAGGTGAAATACGATCATTCGTAAGGTTCGATGTTTCGATATAATTCAAAAAAAAAAAAAAAAACTGCAATAATACAGCAAATAGAGAGAAGAAAAATAGAATAAGTGTGATTACAAGTTATTCATAATAATATTTCTCGTGCTAACGTTTGCACACGATATAAACGTTTCTCTCCATCTGTTTTTTTTTCTTTTCTTTTCTTTTCTTTTCTTTCTTCTGCTTCTAATTCTTTATGCAGCCAAGAAAAGAAAGCAAGCGAGGAAGTTCACAGTTGGAAAGGAATGCACGGAAGGGACGTTGCAGAATCCAGTTCGAGCTCTCTTCTTCTCCTCTTTTTTTTCTTCTTCTTCTTCTTTTTCTATTTCTAATTCTTCTTTTAGTTTGAGCCTGTCGGATTTTGCTTTTGTGTTATGCATATGACCAAAGTAGAATACATAGAAGTAATAATATAAGAGAGAAACAGAGATGGATGATATACTCGAGTTTTTGGACACACACATACATATACAAATACTCTACGTACACACGTGTGGTGATGTAATGTAGTGTAGTGTGTTGTATGTCGTTGCGTGAGTGCGTACGTGCGTGCGTGCGCGCGCAAATTGCGTTTGTGCGTGTGGCGGGAAAAGCGAGTAGGACACACGCACGAAGAAGTGGAGACCTTCACCGCGGCTAGTAAGAGAGAATCAATAGATGTGCGCGTTGCATCTTTGCGCTAGCCCCTATATCTATCTCTTTCTCTCTTTCCCTTCTCTTCTTCTCCCTTTTTGGGGGTATATACCGGCACGCGCAGCAGCACACCCTTTTCCGCTCCTGGTTCCGCCGTAAAAGCTCCTCGACCTTCTACTACCTCGCGAGAAACCTTGTTTCACTTTCTTCCTTACTTTTCTTGTTTTTTTTTTTTCCTTCCTATATTTTTCTTTCATTTTTTTATTATTATTTTTATATTTTTATTCTTTTTTTCTTTCTCTCTCTCTCTCTCTCTCTTTTTCTGTTTTTCTTTCTTAGTTTTTTTCACACAACGTTCATGTTTACGCCGATTTTGTTCTTAACTCCCTAATCGATTTCTTAAAGACTATATGAACACGTAATACTAATCGTTTTTATAGAAAAATATTATATTCGATTTTATTTTTATTATTCTAGTGATTCTAGAAATATTTTTTAACGAATCAAATCGTAGTTTTTGAAAGTACATAGTGATTTTTGTAATTTGGGGTCTGTAAAGTCATTGCTTTTTATTAATTACAAATAGAAAGATAATGA